CATAACTTTTGTAATGTACATCAAGTTCAATTTCGTACTGGTGCATCTGTAGTATCCATTATCATCCTCTTTACCTCTTCTTTCAGTTTCTCATATTCTTCTGAGTTGTAGGATCAATTTTCTGCCAAAAAGAAAAAAAAAATTATTAGTTTAATATAATATATATTTCTATAGTAATGTATATATGTCTTATACGTTTCTTTACCTAAATTCAGAATCATTCTTTGAGGAACTGTCTCTCCCATACCGTCGGAATGGAATTAGCATGGGACGATAGGTTTCGGTGGTGAAGTTTGCAGTTGCTGAACCTGAGTAGAGACCTATTTTTTCTTTCAATTATCACAATTAGTATCTTAAATGTGAGTTTTTCCTAACGCGATCATACTCTTATATACGGAAAGCTCACGTACATCTGCACACCGCACAACCGAAAACGGTTTTAAATTTAATAACTATAAAAAAATGAATAGATTAGACCATTCTTCTTCAATTAGGTTTCTAGCACTTTTCTAAGAAGGAAGTGTCAAGTGGCAACTGTACGAGTCCATTAATTAGTCTTTACTCACGCACAGTAACACTCAACGTGTCCAATGTTTTTGTCTCTTAAATTCAAAGTGAGGCTACTAGTTTTTTTATGGATATAACTAAGAACAGCCTGTAGTTTTGTCATTTGCTATTAGTTTTAGTGGATAGAAGGTGAATGACCTTACACCCTTCTTCCTCGCCACCGCCCAGCAAGTCCCTTCCATGCCCAAGAACAGGACGGAAGGAGGGGACCCTCCTTAAGTTTTAAATTTTTTTTGATAAATTTTACAATTTTGCCCCTAAATTGAAATAAATTACAAAAAAAATTCAATTAATCAAATAAGTAAACTCTTTTTTTTGGGGGGGGGGGGGGGGTGTCAAAACCAACCCCTCTCTCTCTCCACTTTCCAGACCTGTTTTATTTCTTATTGCCTGTAATTGATTTCAACAACTTAGTTTCCAATATTTTTCTTAAATTTCAAATTCTTATCCACCACAAAGACAGTTTCTCCCACCTGTAAAGTTGATAAACCCCTTTTTTCTTCACTTTGTTGGATATACAATACATTTTATATTTGTATTATTTTATTTTAAAAATTTAAGATTATATTATCATCAGGTTTTAGGAGAATGAAATTGTTATTGAGACCACAATTGTACCCATTTTTTTTTTATTGTTTTATTTGTGATGATATATATATTTGAAGCTAGAGGAAATAAAAAGATATTTTTTGTAGTTTTTTGGAGTTGGCCTTGAGACCACTAACATTATTGGGTCCATTTTGTATTATTGTTGGTTTTTTTTTTTTTTTTTTTTTTATTGGAGAATATGGGTTCTAGGACTACATTGTTTACCTATTTTATATTATTATAAAAACATTAGATTTAATTGTAACAATGTTTGGTATTTGAAGATATTTTACATATATCAATTCAATTTTAGCCATGTATATAATTTAATATCTATTTAAAAAAAAAAACATTAAGATCTATTGCAATCAATGTCTATTACTTTATAAATTAACTGCATTAGGTAATGAAAATTTATTATAATCAAAACTTGTGCTTGTGATTATTTTAATTTAAAATTGAATTTTCCTTCAAACTTTGACCTCTTATGTTTCATTTCTACCTATGTCCTGCCCAGAACCCTCCTTCCCCGCATAACCCAAGCAACATTCTCTCTCTCTCTCCTCTCTCCATGTATTACAGCCATTAAAACTGACAACAACCGAGAAGAAAAGGGGTTCTGGTTTATTAGCCAAACTCACGGGTTTTAAAATTTATCCCATATGTTTATTATTAAATGATTTTTTTATTGAGACATATATGTAAAGAAGGTATCTCTACGAATCAAATTCACTCAAAGACCACATAATAAGGCATAAAATCCCTTAAAAAGTTTTGAAGAAGTATTCTTCACAAGAATCACCCAGCTCAAGAATACAAGCATTCTATTATGTACACCGTTTCATATTTTTCATATTATTTTGGCATGTATAAATTCACCACACTTTAACGAAAGAGTATTCCTGGAAATTCATTTTTTAGTTTATTAGGTAGGCTAGTATTCTTATGAAGCCGTATGAAAGGTCATCTCTGTTAGAAAATTAATAATATGAAAATTATACTATTGCCATAAGTAAGAAAAATGTACGATAAATTCTCCTCATCTAAGTACTTTGTGTCATTATACTTTTGAATTATAAAGTGTCAGTTCAATTAATTAAGGTGAATCCAAATTCTAAACATCATACATGTTTTAGCCTTTAGGAAGTAAAGAAGAAGTGCGTTTGATTGGTCTTTAGTTCTCAACCAGACACAAGAATATCTTAACTAAGTATTCTAACGGATCAATATCTTTTTCAATACTTTAAATTAAATTCTTCTTTATTGTTTCTTTCCGTCAGTGTTTTCTACAAGAAATGTAAAGTCTAAGACGAATATCTGTTTTATTTTATTGTTTGGCGTTGAGGGAGAGTACATATGCAACTATTGCATTTATTTTAAATTCCATTTTAATTGAATTTCATGTTTTGTGGAACAAGATTTAGTTAGAAAATTTTCATTATAGAAATTAATAATTCACCTTAAAGTGATAATTTTATGAATGACAAAACGTTTCTAAATTTTCTTATATTGAATCTGTCGGAATAAGGCAAAAAGCAGAGAGGACTAAGCGTCAGAATAGGCAAGAGCAGAAAGACTATAAGTAGAAATTGCCTAACGGAGAGAAAGAATGGAGAAGAATGTTTACTATTAATTGCGTATTTTGTACAAGTGTCCTTTAGACTTAGCATTTGGCCAGTCCAAAAAAATCAGCCCTAGGACCGCTCCTCAACAAAGAATTTCTACATTAATTTCACTGAATTCTCAGTATTTTTTTAATCTTGAGCACAAGATATTGTGTCAACTACAATTTTCTAACGAATAGTTAAGTTTTTAAGTCTTTATTTAATTAGAGGTTTGAAATTACTCGACAAAATTCAATAGGAAGAAATAAGAATTACTTTGTTTTTTGTTAAATGGGGTCACCTCACCAGCCTTTTCTTTTTGCATCCAATTTTCTAATAAACTGTCATTAAAATTTTAAAAATAATTTTCCTATTGAACTTGAAAAAAAAAAATCATTATTTTATAATTTTATTCAATAAATAACAATCTGCCAGCTCTTTATTGGAATGTTATATTATATATAATATTATGGTAAGAATATAATTCAAAAGCTGAACACCTTATTCGGGGACTTTGATAGTGGATCTTTTCAAAGTGGCCCATCCCACTAGGCCTCTTTGTGTGCAGATATACAATCCACGGCAGCAACAATTTGGGACCAAGTTTGACCCAGGCCTTGAGGATGGCTAAAATAGTTTTTTCCTCCGCAACAAAGGCAAAAACTGCAGTGTAGAAGTGAAACTGAAAACTAAAAGAGAGAATTGAAAAATGCGTGAACTTTCTGCTTATTAATTTCAGAGAGAGATACATTTGTTTATATACAGAGGAGAGAGAAGACTGTCGCTGAGAGTAAACCAACTCAATGATAAACTAAAGAGTAAAGTTTTCTTCTAAAAACGATGTCGTGCTCTCTTTTGTGGAGTTGCAGTTACGAACTGCCCTTTTCAGTTTGGCTACATTTTCGCCCCTCAGACTGACTACGGTTACTGAATTCTTCACCATTTTCTACTGAATTGTCTTCTAGACTTCAGTTTGTTGTCTTCAAAAACATTTTCTGCATTTCCTGCACTTTATCAAAAACTGCATTTGCTGGTCAACTTCCTGCACTTTCTCAAAAAAAAAAAAAAAAATAACATTGCATTTGCTTCTGCACACACTAAGTTTCTATAACTTCCAGCAATTCAATCCTGCATCTTGCTTCGTACACACCACTAAGTTTTATAAACTTTCCATAATTCTCATTTTACCAACATTACTATTGAACTACTTCACGACTCTGCTCTCACAAACATCCAGAATTCAACTTACCAACATTACTATTGAACTACTTCACTACATTTGCTTCTACAAACATCCAGAATTCAACTTTACCAACATGACTATTGAACTACTTCAGTGCATCTGCTTCTACAAACATCCAGAATTCAACTTTACCAACATGCCTATTGAACTACTTCACTGCATCGCTTCTATAAAACCATCCAGAATTCAACTTACCAACATGACTACGGACTGCTTTCGCACTTTTCAAATAAATCTATCACCATAGTTACTGGATTCCTACTAACATCCAGCATTTACCAAGTATTATCACATTCAACACTTCATCTTCTTCATACTTACACTCTGTACTCATCACTCCACAGTTATCATCACAAAGCACCAATATACACATTATTATAATGCAACCATCACTTCAATTCAACACTTATCTCCAGGATTCATATTCTCATACCACAAACATCAAGTAAGTACTGCAAACAACACTCCAAAACAGCAAAAACAAGCAGTAGCATTTTAATCCAAGCTGCAGCATTTTGATCCAAAACAACAAAAAAACAAAACAAGCAGCAGCATTTTGATCCAAAACAACAAAAAAACAAAACAAGCAGCAACATTTTTATCAACATGCCACAAACACCTTCTCAAAACAGCAACACATCAGTGGCTCAAAAAACTGCAACAGTCTTTCTGATGCTTCTGCATATAGTTAGCAAAATTGCCAAAAACACAAATTAATATTGCAATACCACAAACACCCTCTCAAAACAGCAACACTTTAGTGGCTCAGAAAAAAAAAAACACAATAGTCTTTCTGATGCTTCTGCATATAGTTAGCAGAATTGTAAACTGCCAAAAACACAACTGAATACTGCAATATTAATGCTTACTGCCAGCATTCATTTCATCACACCACAAACATCATCACAAAACAACAACACAATGGAAGTTCAACATACAGCAGATTCTCTGATTCTTCTGCATACAGTGTTAGCATAATTTTATACTGCTTCAGAGAATTAAGATGATCCTGGACTACTGTCAACTTTAACCTCTGAATGTGGGATCTCAACAACACAAAGTTTGTGTTTCAAAACCTGAAACTGACTAATGGAAAGTGCTTTTGTCAGAATATCAGCAATTTGAAGCTTGGTGGGAACATATTGCACAATAACCTTTTTTGCAAGAGCTTGATCACGTATGTAGTGAGTATCAATCTCAATATGTTTTGTTCTTGCGTGAAAAACTGGGTTTGATGCCAAAGCTCCAGCACTCACATTGTCACACCAAATGACAGGACAAGTGTTTAAAGACACCCCTATTTCAGTAAATAAACTGTCCAACCAGGCCAATTCAGTTGCTGTTTGGGCTAGTGCTCTGTATTCAACCTCTGTAGATGATAATGCCACTACTTTTTGCTGATTTCGACATTCTGCTCAATTAGTTTTAGCACTTTTCTAAGAAGGAAGTGTCAAGTGGCAACTGTACAGAGTCATTAATTAGTCTTTACTCACGACAAGTAACACTAACGTGTCCAAGTTTTTTGTCTCTTAAAATTCAAAGTGACGCTACTATTTTTAGGGATAATAACTAAGAACAGCTGTAGTTGTCATTTGCTATTAGTTTTAGTGGATAGAAGGTGAATGACCTTAACACCCTTCTGTTCTCCGCCACGCCCAGCAAGTTCCCTTCATGCCCAGAAACAGGGACAGGAAGGGGGGACCCTCCTTAAGTTTAAATTTTTTTGATAAATTTTACAAATTTGCCCCTAAATGAAAAGTAAATTACAAAAAATAATTCATAATCAAATAAGTTAAACTTTTTTTTGGGGGGGCGGGGGTGGGGGCTGTCACAAACCAAACCCTCTCTTCTCTCCACTTTCCATACCTGTATTTCTTATTGCTGTAATTGATTCAACAAATTAGGTTCCAAATTTTTTCTTAAATTTCAAATTTCTTTATCACACAAAGAAGTGTTCTCCACTGTAAAGTTGATAAACCCCTTTTTTCTTCACTTTGTGTGGATTAATACTAATACATTTATATTTGTATATTTTATTTTAAAAATTAAGATTAAATTATGTACATCAGGTTTTAGGAGAATGAAATGTTATTGAGACACAAATTGTACCCATTTTTTTGTATTGTTTTATTTGTGATGATATATATATATTGAAGCTAGAGGAAATAAAAGATATTTTTGTAGTTATTTGAGTTGGCCTTGAGACCAATAACATGTGTTTGGCATTTTGTATTATGTGTGGTTTTTTTGTTTTTTTTTTTTTTTTTATTGGAGAATATGGGTTCTTAGGACTACATTGTTTTACCTATTTTTATATTTATTATAAAAAAATAGATTTATGTACAAATGTTTGGTTATTGAATAATATTTTAATATATCAATTCAATTTTAGCCAATGTATATAAGTAATATCTATTTAAAAAAAAAAAAAAAAACATTAAGATCTATTCAATTCAATGTCTATACTTTATAATATAACTGCATTAGGTAATGAGAAATTATATAAATACAAAACTTTGCGTGTATGTGATTATTTAATTAAAATTGAATTTTCCTTCAAACTTTGAACTCTAGTTTCATTTTAACCTATGTCCTGCCCAGAACCCTCCTCCCGCAAACCCAAAGCAACCTCTCTCTCTCTCTCTCTCTCCCATGGTATTACAGCCATTAAAACTGCACAACAACGAGAGAAAAGGGGGTTTTGGTTATTAGCCAAACCTCACGGGGTTTAAAAATTAATCCCATATGGGTTATTATTAAAATGATTTTTTTATTGAGACATTATTGTGAAAGAAGGTAATCTCTTACGTCAATATCACTCAAGAGGACACATATTAAGCATAAAATCCTTAAAAAGTTTTTGAAGAAGTATTCTTCACAAGAGATCACCCAGCTCAAAGAATACAAGCATTCTATTAGTACACGCTTTTCATATTTTTCATATTATTTTGCATGTAATAATTCACCACACTTTAACGAAAGGTATTTCTGGAAATTCAGTTTTTTAGTTTATATAGGTAGGCTAGGTATTCTTATGAAGCCGTATGAAAGGCATCTCTGTTAGAAAATTAATAATTATGATAATATATTACTAGTGCACTAAGTAAGAAAAATGTATCGATAATTCTCTCAATCTAAAGTACCTTGTGTCATTATACTTTGAATTATAAAAGTTCAGTTCAATTAATTAAGGTGAATCCAAATATTCTAAACAAATACAGTTTTAGCCTTTAGGAATAAAGAAGAAGTGCGTTTGATTGGTCTGTAGTTGTCAACCAGACCATCAAGAATATTTAACTAAGAATATCTTAACTGATCAATATCTTTTTCATAACTTAAATTTAAAATTATCTTTAGTGTTTCTTTTCCGTCAGTGTTTCTACAAGAGAGGTAAAGTCTAAGACGCATATCTGTTTTATATTATTGTGGCAGTTGTGAAGGGAGAGTACATATGCAACTTGCATTATTTTAAAATTTCCATTTTATTATGAATTTATGTTTTGGGAACAAGATTTAGGTAGAAAATTTTCAATTATAGAAATTAATAATTTCAACTTAAAGTGATAATTTAGTAATGACAAACGGTTTCTAAATTTTCTTATATTGAAATCTGTCGGAATAAGGCAAAAAAAGCAAGAAGAGAGGACTAGCAGTCAGAATAAGGCCAAGAAGCAAGAAAAAGAAAAAGATTAGTAGAAATTGCCTAACGGAGAGAAAGAATGGAGAAGAATGGTTTTTCATTTATGAGTATTTTGTACAAGTGTACCTTAGACTTAGGCATTGGACCATCCCAAAAATCAGGCCTAGGACCGCCTCCAAAAAGATTTCTACATTAATTCACTGATTCTCAAGTATTTTTAATCTTTGCACAAGATAATTGTGTCAATAACATATTTTAACGAATAGTTAAGTTTTTAAGTCTTTATTTAATTAGAGGTTTGTGAAATTACTCGACAAAATCATAGGAGGAAAGATAATAATTTATTTTGTTTTTGTTAATGGGGGTCACTCACCAGCCTTTTCTTTTGCATCCAATTTTTTAATAAAATGTCATTAAAATTTTAAAATTATTTCTATTGAACTTGAAAAAAAAATCATATTTTATAATTTTATTCAATTACAATATCAAATTGCAGCTCTGTATTGGAATTTATATATTATAATAATATATTTGGTAAGAATATAATTCAAAAGCTGGGGAAAACCTTATCGGGGACTTGATAGTGGATCTTTTTCAAAAGTGGCCATCCACTAGGCCTCTTTGTGTGCAGAATAAAATCCACGGCAGCAACAAATTGTGACAATCAAGTCTTGAACCAGGCCTTGAGGATGGGGCTAAAATGAGTTTTCTCCGCAAACAAGCAAAAAACGAGCAGTGTAGAATGTGAAATGAAAAACTAAAGAGAGAAATTGAAAAATGCGTGAACTTTTTCTTATTAATTTCAGAGAGAGATTACATTGTTTATATACAGAGGAAGAGAGAAGACTGGCGCTGAGAGTAAACCCAACTCAATGATAACTAAAGAGTAAAGGTTTTCTTCTAAAAAACGAGTGTCGTTCTCTCTTTTGTGGAGTTGCAGTTTTACGAAACTGACTCTTTCAGTTGGCTACATCCCCTCACGATGGACTACGGTTACTGAATTCTTCACCATTTCTATGAATTGTCTTCTAGGACTCGTTTGTGTCTTCAAAACATTTCTGCATTTCCTGCACCATTTATCAAAAACTGCATTTGCTTGTCGCACTTCCTGCACTTTCTCAAAAAAAAAAAAAAAAAATAACATTGCATTTGCTTCTGCACACCATAGTTTCGATAAACTTCAGAATTCAACCACTGCTCTGCTTCTACACACCCTAAGTGTTTATAACTTCCATATTAATTTTACCAACATTACTAGTGAATTACTTCACTACATCTGCTCTACAAAACATCCAGAATTCAACTTTACCAACATTACTATGAACTACTTCTTACATTTGCTTCTACAAAACATCCAGAATTCAACTGTACCAACATGACTATTGAAACTACTCAGTGCATCTGCTTCTACAAAACACTCCAGAATTCAACTTTACCAACAGGAATTGGAACTACTTCACTGCATACTGCCTTCTATAAAAACATCCAGATTCAACAGGTAACCAACCTAGTACACTGAATGCTTCTGCACTTTTAAATAGACAGAGCAGTGCTGCCGAAAATGCTATTGCATTGATTGTATTGAATGAATAAAACTGTACATGATGCCACTGCTTTATACAAGGAAACAAAGTGTTACAAACCAAAGAATGCTATACAGCTAGCGTAACAACCTGTAACAAACTGAAAATTTACATAATGGTACAAGGACACCTCAGCTATGAATAAGACTATTTGGTAATTTTCCTAAACAATTATCATATGAAGTGTGTCCATCTGATATAGAATGTGGTTGCATATCAACGTCTTTGAGGATGCCACGAGCTGCTGCATTTGCATGAGATGGACTAATGTTAGATTGCTCTAATACTGGAAGTGTATCTATGGCGCCAATGTCCCATCTGAAGGTAAAATAACCGTTCACATCTTTTATTAAAATTGAAGCCAGAATTTTGAAAATTAAAATGATTATAAATTTACAATTTCTTAATTTATAATGAAAACTCTAAGGGATCAATTTAAGCTGTATGCGATATATATCTTTAATTTACCTTCTAATTGCTTCTGTAAAGAGTGTGGGTTCTTCAAGTGTACCGTAGGAATCGTATGTATCATCTATGAGGATTTGCATAGAGAAAACTTCTGTCAATTTCCTTATGCCATATGCATATTTTGGCTCAAAGAACATTCCCAAGATCCAAAAATATTCCTCCACCATTCTGTCTCTAATGTAAGGAAGCTTTTTAGTAAAGCCTAAAGTTTTCCGCCACCTGAAATAATAAATCTTCATATATGAAAGCTAATTCCTCAGATCAAGTTAGCACAACTAATTGATATATTAATTAGTGAACGACAAAAGTGTGTGTGTATATATATATATATATTGAAAAATGAACAGAAGTGTTCTAAAACTCTTCCTAATATATATATATATACACAATTACCGTAAGATGTCACTGAGTTGCTTCTGGTGTCTCACTTGTATTATGTTATAGTCCAACTTCGCAAATTTAAGCAAAGTTTTATTGTGAGAATCATCTCTTGCATAGGTGGAATCTTGCCTCATACCTTGGTACGCTCTTACGGATAGGAAATTTCAAAGTATGATTTATTTCTTCTGCAAGGTGAGGGCTTACACGAGATGCCATTGACTTAAGCTGAGTGGCTGTAAAAGCGAGGGCTTCATCCAGAATATCTTCGCCATGAATAGCGAAGTGTGCTGCCTCATACAAAATTAGCATTCCTTGAACATCATTAATTAAGGATGACTTGAATTTCCTATCAACATCTTTAAACTTTTCAAATACATCTGCTCACAACAACGACCTTCAATTAGATATGTTTATATTTTATTAATTTCATGAGTGAGTATTATGAATATTATTTAACATTGTTTACTTACCACAGGAAACCTTAATTCCTTGTTGTCGAAGAAGTCGAAAATACACTGAAACAGTGTGGAGATCATTATAATGATCAATGTCACAATCATTATAAATTTTTTTGCAAAGCATCTTCTATCTCTTCTTCAAAGTTATAAGCCACACATAACTTTTGTAATGTATCAATCAAGTTCAATTTCTGTACTGGTGCATCTGTAGTATCCATTATCATCCTCTTTACCTCTTCTTTCAGTTTCTCATATTCTTCTTGAGTTGTAGGATCAATTTTCTGCAAAAAAAATAAATAAATAATATATATATTTCTTTACCTTAAATTCAGAATCATCTTTGAGGAATTGGTCTCCCCATATCGTGGGATGGAAATTAGCAATGGGACGAATAGGTTTCGGTGGTGAAGTTGCAGCTGCTGAAACCTGAGTAGAAGACATATTTTTATTTCAATTAATCACAATTATTATCTGTAAATGTGAGTTTTTCCTAACGCGAACATACTCTTATATAGGAAAGCTACGTACATCTGCACACCGCACAACCGTTTTAAATTTAATAACTATAAAAAATGAATANGCGAGGATTTCTAATTTTAGGAAAAAAAAAAAAAAAGTCAAACAGCTGGTAGCTCATTTGTTATTGTCCAGTGACACACTAACACTGACTGCTGCATGCCAGCTTAATTTCTTTCACGCCATATATTAATAGACGTGTTTACTTAACCTAACTGTGCAATTAAAGACGTTTTAATTGAAAAGAAAACGTTAAAGTAATAATCAGTCTTGGATCTTCGTATGATCTGTTTCGTCTGCTGTTATCTTTGCCCTTGTTAGTCAAAAAAATTATTTATTCAGACGGAGACATATTAACCTCTGAAGTCAAAATCCTGTTCAACTAGAAGCAGCCCTTTGAAATCCAAAAAATAGGAAAAAGAAAAAAAAAACAAACCAAAGATTTAGGACATGACATGAGGCTTAGAAACAAATACTACTTGTAGGAGTTGGGTGTTTGTTTTCATCTTAAGATGGATTATGCTAGGAGACAATATCTTTATTGCTGACGGGGTTCAATTCGGCTACACATGATTCTCCTAAATATCTTTATTACTGGATTAGATAAAAACCGAATAGATTAGAATAATTATTCCATGTTTGAAACTAAGCTGCAATGACACCTTGCAATAAATGTATGAATTAATTGAAGTTACATCAGGTTTGACTCTGCCCCTATTAATCCCAATAGTTCCTTAGCTGTGACATATGCAAGAGAAGCTCGTCTCTGACCAAACCAGTGACACTACTGGTCATGATCCAAGGGGATGCTCTGCAAAAATTTGGTTAACCGAACCGGATACATGTTTTTTTGTAACCAAACTGATTTTTAGATTCAAACCATATTATAAACCGAAACCGACCTGAATTTTGCATAAACCGATTTACAAACTGATCCAGATTTTTAGTTTGCAATCTGGTTAACCGGTTTTATTAATAAATTTTTAAAAATACATTACAGCCTCTAACTAACTCCAGCAGATACAATAGTCTGCTTCTCCCAAATTCATCCAAAGCCCCCACACTATTATATAATATATGCTTCTTACTGTAGAGTTCTTGAAGGAAATACCAATTTGAAATCCAGATACCCCATTAAAAGCATCTACTTCACACCTATTTCAAGTGTGAAATAAGGTAAAGAGTATGAGCAATTGTTGGCGATTCATTACCCTAAAAAGCACTCAAAGTGTGCATCGTTGTCATAAAAAATCAATAATTTTATTTAAAAATTTTAAAATGATACCATTTAAGTTCTTAAAGATTTCTTATCTGTAAGGGGCAGGGGTGAGTGGGAGGAGAAGATTACATATGATAATCCCATATATTGCGGTTGAATAGTGAATACTTCAACAAGGAACAAAAGATGCAAGAACAGTAAATAAACTGAAAATGCCGAACAGTGCATAAAGAGCACCAACATATCTGCACTTTGCTGAGGATTGATTCCTACACCATCTGCATATAATAAACAATAAACTCCAACCATAATCACATTGATGTAAAGCCAAAACAACTTCCCCAGCTGCTAAGGTTGCACCATGGCGCGTGCATAAAGAAGAAGACGGAGAAAACAAGCGAGTTTGAGAAGAGAGGACGGGAGGAGGAGAGACGAGTAAATGTAATGAAGAAGAAGACGAGTTTGAGAGGGCAGCGGCGGCTACTGGAGTTTGAGAGTGAGTATGGAGTGTGAAGTTAGGGATTCAAACTAATAAAGATAATAAAGATTTTAAAAAATTAAAATAATATTATCATATTAGGATTATAGGAAAACCGATTTATTAAACCGGTTTCGGTTAACTGGTTACAAAAATAATATAAACCGTAAACCGACCGAAAAATCGGTTTAGCTATTTTTTGAAACCGAAACCGATTAATCGATTTTTCAAACCGGTTTCTCGATTCGATTCGGTTTTCAATTTTTTTTTTGCAGCCCTAATGCTGCGGGTAGTTTTCTCTTATCAGCTCCTGGAAGCTCCTGATATATATTCTCGTCGGGCCTTCTTCCTTTGGCCACCTTCATCTTGTCACATTTTGTGAAAACAAAGTCAAATAGATGCGTTTGTTTAAATATCATAATTGTATTTTAAATTAAAATGTATATTTGTTTACCTATTCTTAAAATTAGAGGTGGAAAAAATGGGCCGGGTTAGGCGGGCCAACCCTAACCCGGCCCGTAAAAAAGAGGGCTCAAACCGGCCCGCCTTAATGGCGGGCCGGGTTGAGCCCAACCCGCCAGCAACCCCCGGGCAGGCCGGGTTGCACAATGATAACCCGGCGGCCCGCGGGTTGCTAATTTGTCCTCTTTGCAAGAGGCCCGCAACCCGGCTGGTTGGCCCAAAAAAAAAAAAAAAAAAAAAAGTAAATCTTTTTATTTTTTCAATTACACTTTTACCCTTGAAATATAGCCGTGTTATAGCCGTTGGAGGGGTCTTTTTCGTCATTTTCTTTCCTATTTTTTCTATAAATTGGCCTAAACTCTCAATTTTTCTCACAACCAAATTCTCTCATTTCTCATATTCTCTATTCTCTCAACTCTCAAGTCTCAATTATTCATTTATTTCTTAATATTTTGTTATCAATTTGCTTATTTTATTTTTATTGGTTTTGCAATTTTCAATTCATATTTCCAGTTCCATATTCCAAATCTCTTTCTTTAATTTTTATTTCTTCTACATCATTTTTTTTTTCAACTACAAGTCATAATGGATAGATATTTCTCTCCCATCAATTTCAATGGGAAGAAAACTATTATCCTAGTCCTAGTCCCGCTGATTTTACTATGAATGCAGGAGATTCAAATAGTTCCGCTGTCCCAATCCCAGTCTCAGAATCGATACACCTCAAAATATGCCGTCGATTCCAACAGCGCCGGTGGTTCTAGAAGGCGTCTCGTAATCGTCGTCTCGTCCAACTTCATCTCAAGCTGAGGCGGGATCATCAACTGCCGTCCAAAGCGAAACAGACACACATCAGACGTTTGGGCGCATTTCGACAAGTTTTACGAGACAGAAAATGGGGTTCAAGTCAAGAAAGCAAGATGCAAATATTGTGCAAATGTTTATAAGCTGATTCAGGTAATGGTACTAGTACTTTAAAAAGGCATGCTAATAAACATATTAATCAACATGGAAATAGAGAAAGCAATCAAACTCAAATAAACTAATATGGGTACTACTTGGCGTTATAATTCTGATGTATATAGGGACAGTTAGCTTTATATTGTTGCATCGATAACCTATAATATGGCAGAAGAAATATTTGAAAGATTTTTTCAAAATTCATTTTTTCCAGGATTTAAAAATTATTCTAAAACGCAACTAGAAATGATTTAATAAAATGTGTTTAAAAAATGAAATTAAAATTAAAAAATAATTTCATACTTGTCATATTAGTGTGGCTTTAACTGCTGATATTTGGAGTGGTAGAGCTAAACAAGATTATTTGTGGACTAGTCATTATTTTGATAATGAATTTAAATTAAATAAATCTTTATTAGGATTTAGATTAATGGATGTGGATCATAGTGGTTTAGAAATCTATAATAAAATTATTGAAGTTTAGAAGATTATGATATTATGATAAGTGAATAGTTTAACTTTAGATAATGCAAGTTCTAATAGTAAAGCTATATTTTTTCAAAAAATTATCTTTTAATTATTGAAGTTTTTTCACAACGTTGGGCATGTCATGTATTAATTAATTGTGAAAAGTGGTATGAAAACAATAAACAAAATATTGATAGAATTAGGGAATCTTTAGCTTGGATTACTGGTAGTAATAAAAGAAATGCTGAATTTCAAGAAGCTTGTATAAAATCAATATGTCTCCTAGAACTTTTGCATAGATATGCCTGTGTAGTGGAATAGTACTTATTAATGCTGATTCATGTTACCTTATGCTAATATAATTAGTTATTTGTAGCAAATAATAGAGGTCCTCATCATTGGTAGAAAATGATTGGAATAGCTAAAGTATTTCATTCTTTCTCAAATGTTTTTTACCAAGCACTTACAACTTTCTGGTGTGTATTATCCTACTAGTCCATTGGTAATACATGCAATTATAAAAATTCCGAGTTATTTACAAAAAACAAAGACAATGAAATTTTACATGCACCAATAAAGGCAATGGAAATTTTTTTTTGAAATATTGGAAACCCGTTCCTTTTTTTATTGTTTAGGTGCTATATTTGATCCTAGAAAATTAGCACGTTTAGAAAATGGTCTTGACAATTAAGTGAAAATTTACAAAACGAATCATATGTCAATCAAATAGGAGAGGTAAAAATAGTCTTTTCGAAGTATATTCCAATATGAAAACAGGTATGGGAACCGCAGTCGCAAAGGGCGAAATATCCAGAGAAGCTGTAGCAGAAGAAACAAATGAAGACTTATTCTTGGAATGCACTGAATAGGCCGAAGAGACCGAGTCCGAAGCACAGCCTCTTCTTCAGAGCAAGCACACCACAACAACAACAACAACTATATGCTGTCCTCCATGGAGTCGCAGAGTAATGAACTTCAACAATATTTGGCGACCCCGAAATGTTTTCAACAGGTCACTTGATCTCTTAGAGTATTGGAGAGCCAGAAAATGTATTTTTCCGGTATTATCAAGAATTGCCTTGGATGTTTTCGCTGTTCGTCTCAACCGTCTCATCGAACAAACATTTAGTGCAAGTGGAAGGATTTAAATGAAAGGAGGACTAAACTTGCTCCAAAAATGATTGAAGTCCTCACATGTCTCGAGATTGGGAACGATCGCGCCATCAAGATAATACGAGGTTATCGACAATGCTTTAGTAGAATCATTTCAATTTTGTAATATAGATGATACAGATGAGGGAGGTCCTAGTGAACCACCCCAATTTTGTTGTTTTGTAAAATGTAATTTGTAAATTAATT